TGTTTGAGTCTTTCTTCCTCTTACCTCCTTCAATCTAACATACTCTTATCTTAGAACGAATATCAAAAAAAAACATTCTGAACATCCTGTATCACTATTGACTGTTACGACGAGATAAAAAGTCCTTGAAGACTATCGGGAAATTTAATATCGGTGCCAAATTCGAACAGGAATTGCAACACCACCGTCATACCGTATTGCCTACATTCTTTAACATGTTTTAAAATTCAAAACTACCCAATTTTATGATGCCGACCAAACCCTAATAATCTCCGAAGCATATTAGACATTCCACCGAGGAAAATGTTTAACCTTAAACGGCGCCTTGGCATTCTGGAACCTTGATTTAAAAACGATGCTTAAAAAGACGAGTCCTCCGATGACAGCGAATCACGATCAACATACAAATGCCTTATTATGTTTCGTTCATACTTACAACTACGCGTGAAACGAACTACTACTAACGAAAATAATTGCTCGACTCCATTCCGTATCGTCTACAGCTTTTTTCCACTAAATTACTCGAGGTTGTACAAAGAACCATTCGGTATGTTTTTGGTAAAAATGTTTGTCCTGTAGTAAGCTACACCACTGTGTTCCCGTTAGTTTGAAACGATAGCCGATTTTCGTTTTAAATATCCTGCCCACGGAAAACGTGTGAACGTAAACGCGGGATTACGAGCACCGACTATATCCTCTTCTCTCTCTTTCTTTCGACGATCGATCAAGAGACCGCTGAATCATTGGCAACGTGCTTCAACAGCCTCGCACGGAAATTCATTGTGGCCCGTTGTTCCGGTTCTCGAATCGCCGAAGAATCGTCCCTTGCGTCGAGATGCGTCGTCGTCGCTAGTCCACAGAGCGTTCACCTTTCGTGGACGAGGATGCAAAATGAACCGATACAAATTTAGAACCGCCTTCTTTCTTCGTTTCGTAATCGGTTAAAACGGGGAAACGTTCACTCCGTGAATAATCCCTCGAACGTTTCTCCCCGTTTCGGCTCCGCGTAGGAAGTTGTCCTCGTCGAAACTGCTGGCATCATCGAGGCACGTAGCCGAAAATAAACCTCCAAAACTCGTCTAGAATCGCGCAAAACCGAAAATCTGTTGCGCTGTTTACTGTACACGATACATGTATACATATTTACGCTATATGTATATGCATATATATGAATTATATATATATACATATATATAAATATATATATATATATGTGTACATAATTCTAATCCACAAAAAATATTAGATTCGGTGAACAGGTCCGGTTGGAATCACGCGACTGGACCTCCCGATCCCTGAGCGTCGAGCCTGAAAACCTTGGAGCTCAGGGCCATTGTCTGGCGAGGCCTTTGCCTCTTCCCTCTCCCTTTGATAACCACGGTAGTCTTTCATCTCCTGGAACACGCCTGAGAGAGGAACTTCTGTGTGCAGGAGAGGCTGTTTCTTCAACGATCTTGAAGGGGTCTATGCCTCGGAGATGAGCCACGGTCGCGACGTCGACACCAGACAAGAACCGAAATTGCATTTCCACCATGAGGGTCGCCTTTAGACAGCTAGCAGAAAGAGAGAGAGAGAGAGAGAGAGACCCCTTCTTGTTCTTCGCCTTCTCCGCCTACTTTTCATCTCTCGTTACGTTTCATCTTCCTTCTGTGTTCTCTCGCCACCCTTTCCTGTCGCGGTTGTTCTCTGCTGCGCCCGTTCTGCTCCACCGTCGTCGTTCCTTTCTTCTTTCAACGTCTTGTTGTTTGCTGACCGTCGCGGCGTCCTCGAGGAATTAACCCAACGTGTGCGTTTAGAATTCCGACCCCGAGGATAATCCGGTGAACTAGGAAGAGTGCCGTTTCCTCTCTGAATAGAAATTATACTCGTTCTGACCATTGTCCAACGGAGGTCAACCTTTTCGACCCTTTCAAGGAATCTCCACCCTAGTCCCTTCTTGCTCGTTTAGTTTATGATCGGAAAAGATTTTAGGAATTGTCCCCCGACCTCGATATCGCAGAGAAACCGATCGTTGAAACGTTATCAATTTCTCGGTCGAGACAGTTATGTTGCACGTATGTTACATTGATTATTTAATAGCGACGACGATTTGGATTCTGGGTGAAGTAACCGTGCCGGTAATAATCAGGTCGTTAGTATTCAGAGACAACGTACCGGGCGCGTGCCTAATTTAATTGTTCTCCGATAATGATCGTCTCCCTGTGTGCGAAACAATGTCAGCCCATTAGAAGATTGCAATAACGTAACGGTGGATGATAATGAAAACCGGTGGCGCCCTGACGACACACGCACACGTGTTACAGGAAGCCGGTGGGAAACCTTACACAAAAGACCGTTGCTGAATTTCATTTAAATTCGATTAACCGGATTTAAAACGGACACACGATTTATATTTTTCTGTGAATCGAAACCCTTCCTGTGCGAGACCTTGCTCTTTGACCTTCACGCTTCACGAATCACCGATACCGTGTCGAGGTTCAACCACGAAATCCGAAAAAAAATATACGAACTACTTTGATATCTCAAAAGAAAATAAGATATAATGAAATCAAATTATATCCATCCGAGGCATTCTTGATACAACGAATGAGTTATTTTCGATAATAGTTCTTATTGATTCACCCTGTATATGTTATCCGTGTAAGTTTTGAATGAAAATATAGACAAGATATCGCGTTGCTCGTTAGACACGAAGACTAGAATTAGCATGATCGAATGGCGTTCGTGAATGTGTTGGAAACTTACATTGAAGGTGGGCGGAAGCATGCACATCTGTGAGATGCACTCATAAATCTTGGACGGGAAGCGAAACACGCGCGTAACCATGAAATCGCCACCATCCTAGAGTAAGTGGCCCAATTACGGACATATTAGTGGCCCTAGATGAGCTTGATTTTGTTAAGAAATAATAAGAAATTATTAAAAATTGCTTTTCTTTGAACTCTCTAATAAGTTTCATTTTTCTGGAATCCCCACAAAGAAACTTGCCATGGAATAATTAAAAATTAGTGAAATACCGAACGAACGGAAAAAAAAGTTTTTTTTTGCAAGTTATGAGTAAAAGTATCGATACCTTGAGGGGTTATCCCTAGTCACGAGTGCAGGAAAAAACTGCGATAGGTCACTGTCCCGACTCTTTGTCGCGTGAATTGCAGTACTTTGCCGCGTTTAATTGGAAGCTCGTTCGCAGCAAGGTGGTACAATCCAGCCACGCTTTCATCGTTGCAGTTGCACAAAGGTAATTCAATTTCCGTGGTAACGCACTCGTCACCGCCCCCCTCCGCGTGTGTCGCTACGTGTGGCTCTCGCTGTTCCTCTGAAAACATATCGGATCCTGTACAATAAACAATAGGAGACAATACTTAATGCATTCGAGCCTTACATAAGAAAACAAGACAGTTGCATGTATGCGTATAAGCTATTATGTGATTCGTTTGAATCGCGTGTCGAGTCGCGGTTAAACCTTGAATGACGAACATGGGTCATTTGTGACCCAGACTTTAAACCTAGGCTAGAACACAGGCCAAAACTTTTGATTCAAACTTTTATACGAGATTTCGATATGGGTAAAAAATGACCCGGGTTCACTAACCACGTGTCCGTTTTTCGAGGGTTAAAGGGATGACAAGGATTTGCGGGAATTTTTACCCGTTTCACGCTATTGCGTATTGTTTCGATAAATGTATACTTTCAATATGTTTGACCGCTTTTCACTGGCCGTCTATGCTTACTTTTTTTTCGATAAAAAATGTGTCGAGTAAGGTTGGTTCTCAATGCACACGTTTCATTCATCCGTTACACGACATCTATTTACGTGTCGGAACAATTATCGATCGACGCGCTTAATTTAGGACCGTACTGGCAGCCTATATGTTTTCTAATTGCTTCTACTCCATTAATCAACGACATTGATCGAATATATCATTTTGGTCTTAATTTTTCATGCTTCCAAACGCGCGACTTGGTGACAATAGTCTAAACACGTCAATTCGCGGTTAGATAAGCTAAAAAGATAATTACCGGTACGCGAATCGGTGTAAAAAAATACGCGCAGTTACCATGTGCAATACCTACAACTGTCATCGATTATTTTTCACGGTTCGCGTCGGTAACAAGAAATGTACGTGAACGGAATATCGAATTTAAATTGAGTGGGGATACTTTAGGTTGATTCTGAATTGACATATCTTTAGGTTAAGCAGTTCGTATTTTAACGCTGGAACTGCTATAACCTATCCTGCTTTCACTAAACGTTTGTTTACAACTCACGTGATTGGTGACGATGATCTCGGCGCGAAATGGACACGAGCCGTTCGCTACGAGTTCTATTTCTCCTCTTGCATATGCCATTGCGTAGGACACTTTCCATCGCAAAATAATCTCTTGAAATTCATTCTTCAACTATTACTTGCATAATGTATATCATATTTTACCCCTTGCTTTCGATGGTTCATCGTTTACTATGTGTCTGTTTCTTCCAATGTTTCGAGGGAAGTAATTACGCAACAAACACGCGAATTCGATTCGCTAATATCACGTGGTCGGTGTCCAATTATCCGATAGTAATTTGTTCGGCACGGGGCAGGAAATGACGGAAAATGGAAAATGCGCGCGCGGTACCTTATTATCTCTGTGTACTCTTCAGTTTTTCGCATCATCGACAGAATTCTTGCTTACACGAGGCACACGAAAATAAATGGCAAACTGTTCCGTGACGCAGTTAAACGGACTCTCGCAAGCTCGTTGAATCGATTGAAAGCCTATCGAATCAATTTATCGATTTGCAATTTTCCTCCGAAAACGTAATCGTTCGGTTTCTGCAATCCGACTATGCGAAAATAAAGTCCTATAGAACACACACGGCAATGGGTATAAAAGACAATACAATTGCAACGGTTAGCCTGTAAGCTTTCTCCGATATAGAAATCTATTTAAAACTGTATACCTTTGCAAAGTCGCAACATTGGTATACGCGTTCGGACGATCTCATAAAGTACAAAATGGCGGCGAAGCAGTCGACGCAGCATTCCAGGAGTACGCATGCGCACGCCTGCGCCACAGAAAAGTAGTACGCCGTATATTTCGCGTGGTAGAATCACGGTTCTCGTTCCCGTACCGTGGAAAAGCCCAACGGCGATCGTGTTTCGGTCGTTTAACCCGAATCTGATAGGTCATTCGATCGGTGTACGACGCGTTGTACGCATTTGCGTTTGATCTACAGACGAATCCGGACGTCGAGGGTGCGCATTGGACCAGTGCGCATCGCGGTGGACCGAAACACGGAGAGCGAGATCAGTGGGAGAGTCGAGAGTGTAATGTCTGATAAGACGAGCGATGGACAGCCGTGCGAGCGCGTGATCCTTCTTTCGATTTTGACAGTTCTACCGTGAAAAGTAAGCCGAACGAACAATTTGATTCGCGAGCAGCCGCCGTGTCGCGTTTACTATGCACGCGTCAATGTGCCATTGATCGAAAGGGGACTGACGGTGGACCGATTCAGAAAATCGCAGCAACGAAGAAAAGCACAAGTGGTCGTTGGTGTGTGTCCACGCGTTGTGTCGCCGCGCCGTGTGAGCACCTACGTGTCTTTCCTTTAAAGTATAGGGAACACCGACCGGAGGTAGCCTGCCCTCCACTATACGAGAAACTAAACAAGGGCCAATTCCCCGTCATTGGTTTTCCCACTGGCAAACAAAGGCGGCTGGTTTCGGTGCCTGCCTTTGACCACTCGGTATAATATTGCCTCTCTCTTTCCAGATTTTACGGCTACCGCCGAGGATGAGCTTAGCTTTCGAAGGAGCCAAGTCCTTAAGGTTTGTATAGAACTATGCTTGCCGTGTCATTGTATACGTCATCCGAGCCACGAATACGGCAGAAAAGGGTGTAGCGTTGTCGATTTTCAACGCACAGTTTATCAACCCCGAACTTTCCGAACTGCTGTCCTGCGAGCGGATATCGCGTGTCGGTTAAGGATATCCTAGCGACAATGCACAGCGTTCCACTAGTCGATTGTACTTGGTTGCCTTTCTGTTTTCTTTTTCATTTTTAATTCTTTCGACTTTGTTGCTCGAGATCCAAGATCTTTATACTGGTCCAATTATGTTCGATCGGAAATTTGGTTCATAACGTTGGGCGAAAAGTTATTTAACATTGTTACGACGATAACAACTTCCTTTCCTTTTACTTCTTCCGTTTGTGGTTCAGGAGAAACGTATTAAGTCATACTTTCTTTCAGTAAACGTGCGTGGCATGTCCGTTAATGGAAAATATTTTCAGCATGTCTTTTCGTATTTTTTTTGTAAACTCGTCAGTAAGTTGTAATTTGATAACTGACAGTTTTGAACATCATAGAGTGACTGGATGTCAATGTTTTCAATATTGTTTGATTGAACATTTTGTTGTACAATGTTTTGTGAGGTGTATTGAAAATATACTATCTTGAATGTTCAAAATTTCTTATCCGATTTCATGAACTTACCTAACTTGATTATGTAGTTATTTGTTTAAGACAAGTATAGATAGGGACATTTTACATGATTCAATTCTGAATAAGCTTTATCGATAAACCCCCTATACAATGATTTTATTTGTTATCTGTTGCTGTAATAATATTTTTCTTCTGAAAGGACGTATTTACCAGTCTTGTTTCATCAATGAGTAGAGTATAACAAATGTGTTATTCTTATAGATTCTAAATATGGAGGATGACATGAACTGGTATAGAGCTGAACTAGATTCCAGAGAAGGACTCATTCCAAGTAACTACATAGAGATGAAAAACCATGAGTGGGTTTCCTTTCTTTTAATATACAAAAATATTCTATATTGTAAGTCCCTACAGAATTCTCTTAATTAATGCATGTTTTGTGTCCTTTCAGTTGGTATTATGGAAGAATAACCAGAGCAGATGCAGAAAGACTATTAATGAACAAGCAAGAAGGGGCTTTTCTTATCAGAATTAGCGAAAGTTCTCCTGGTGATTTTTCTTTGTCCGTTAAGTTAGTAAAATACTATCCAGAAAAGCCAAATATGTTTATACAAACATTCGATAAACTATGCTAGTAACTATTCAATGGTTTTATCATTAGATGTTCCGATGGTGTTCAGCACTTCAAAGTATTGAGGGATGCACAAGGAAAATTCTTCCTCTGGGTGGTGAAATTCAACAGTCTTAACGAATTAGTAGAATATCATCGTACGGCGTCTGTCTCTCGCTCACAAGATGTTAAACTACGAGATATGATACCAGAAGAAGTAATTATGCGTGCAAATTATTCGAATAATGTACACAGTAAAGATCGTTTCTCGAGTTTATATCGTTGCATTCTGTTTTCTTTCAGTGTCTAGTGCAAGCATTATATGATTTCATGCCACAAGAACCCGGTGAACTAGAATTTAAACGGGGGGATGTAATTACTGTAACGGACCGCACGGATCAGCATTGGTGGCACGGAGAAATTGGCAATCGACGGGGCCTGTTTCCATCTACATACGTTACTCCTTACCACTCCTAGGTGAATACACGGATATCGTCGGTATCGTGTAACTTCCACCTAATTTCCTCGAATAAAATAATGATGCATTTCAGGCCTCATGTCGCGCGCACAGAGGCCAGAGGCATCGGCCGCATTATCCCACCACAATCACGTACAGGATCAGAGTAACGGCAGAATTAATCAACAATATTTTGCAAACTCCTCCTATTGAATGGGCTACCAGGATGTATTGGTGGTCTAGACGTCGAGTCGTTTAGCTTGGCTTGATATACCATTAGCACTGTTCATTGGTCTCATTGAAAAAAAAAACTTCTCCACGTTTAACGATATAAATACGCAAACGTAGAGTTCCTTCATGTAGCAGACAAACAGGGTAGCAAGTTTCTATCGTTTGTCCACTGCATCGGCTAGATGAACTTTTCACTGGGACTGATACTATTACTCGATCTTCTTGATAGACATTATGCGTGTAAAATAGACACATCTCTCAAGCATCTCATATTTCAGTTTCACGAGTAATCGAGTAGAGAGTAGGTTTGAAAATACATTCGTAACATTTCACCTGTGACAAAGAAATCTTGAAATGGTGTTTCCTATTTCTTGGTAGTCCATTAAATGGAGTTATTCGTATGCAATGGTACAATATCAAAACTTTGTACATCAATTGACAAAGAGTATCGGCCATATTGAACGAAAAATACATATTGTTTCGAAAGGCAGTTTTATGACTGGACTGGCATATAAACATTGTATTTTTCAAATATGAGGATTCGCTGTTCGAAGAATGGGGGACCTTGGTGATAAAGAGCCTAGTAAAGCTACCCTTACGCGAAATACAAGAACTTTATATAGATATAGCATTAAAGCGCGTCGCCTTTTGGCATAAAATGCACACTATGCCTCTATGTTGTGGATATTTTTACAAGTAAGAACGGGAAGATAATATTCCTCCGATAATTGAGACAAATCTGATACTGATGCATCAGATATATTTGCTGTGTATCATATAATATAGACTTGTACTTTCAGACTGTACGTTGAGTAACCATTCAGACAACTTTCAAGTTAAATCAGTTTGCTTTTTTTTTTTAAATATTAGCGAAATTACAATTTGCAACTACTAATAAGCTGTTTCATGGTTTCATTTTTTTTTTCCAATCATGCTCGTACGATCGGAAAAACTTATTTTTACGATTATTGATTATCCTGTGACATATAGTTTCTGTTTGAGAAACACGTTTTTGCTAAAGATTTTACAACAAAGAACGAATGAAAATGCCACTTTTACACGGACTTGTGGTACGTGTTATTATAATCTTTAACAGGTCTCGAGGACAACGAGCGACTGATTTATTCTTTGTAACGCGTTAGAAATAAATTAGCGATCGAAAGGAAAACTTAGACGACTATCAGAATATAAATATGTAATAAATTTTACGTCAGATATGAATTTCTGTTCTGTAATGCATTTTTCGACAAATGCCAAAAAGCGATACGATAAATCGGAAGTCGGCCATGCGAAATAGATTTGTCTGTATAAACTGAAACATGTAATTTTTGAAAGAACGAAAGTTCGTGTATATTTTTTAAATAATTTCTTTTTATCAGATTATTTCGGCAAATCTTACTTTCTCATCTTCGTGTAAACAATGAAAATACGTAGCCGTACTTTGTAATTATTATTATTAATTATTATTATTATTCGTTATGTTACATTTTATTGATAACAATATATTATATTAATTACACTTGCATGCTTCATTTACTACGCCCATAATCCATAGAACTTGTATTATGTACAATTAAATAATGCATTATCCTTCTTGAAAGGGAAAAAGGAGCAATTATTCTAAAATAATAATCGTTTCTTTTGATTCTAAGACTGCAATAATTATACGATATAGAACTACATATTTAGTTTCGATATCGAACCCAAAACCATGATTACGAACGTTTAAGAATACGACGTTAAAAAGTATACACATATATACATACATAGTTGTTTAATTCTATTTGTATTGTCGATACTTTTTGAAGTGGTTTATAGTGTTTTATATAGTTCCTAACGACGCTAGTATTATCCTGATCAAATTGGGAGAAAAATGAAAATGCATTGAATTGAATACCCTGGCATGGGCTTTTTATAATGTTTGAATTGGAGAACAGCAGCGATCGGACACTTGGATTTCCAAGAAAAGAGTTGTTTGTAGATTCATTCTAATTCGTAGTTGATGTTATAAAAAATGTGGATATAGGATAGATGTTCGTCAACATTTTTAAAGACCAGTAAGATAGACTTTAAGAGATACAAAGCGTACAGATTCACACTTGCATTGCGTACTTAAAGATTGCTTGTGTCAACGAATATTATCATGCAGTGTATACTTTTTTTTAATTATTTTTGTTTTTACTATTTGCTACTACGTATTAGCAGTTGTTTATATACGTATTGCGCACTGTCGTTCTTTAAATATTTTACATCGACCGACTAAAAGCAGAGCATTAGAGCGACGCAAACCTAAATTTACTGTAAGTAATGTTTCCACCAATATATATGTGTAAAATTGCTGAAACTAATCTGGAATTGAGTTGTTTCGAGACAACAGTATACCATGATATATCTGGACCAAGAAATGTATAATAAACGAATGTAATAAAGTTACATGTTTGAACAAACTTTGTTTTTTTAATCTCGATTCTAATCATTGCTACTCAAATTAAAATGCATTATATCAAAGCATAAGTAATGATACCAAGCCATTCATTGTGTAACAAGTAAATACTACTATGATATAATAAAGTGCTAACTAACTGTAACCATTATTCTTTTGTTCATCAAATAACTGTCATATATTTCATTATTTTTATCTTACATGGTACTTACAAAAGTTATATAATCTATATGTAGTTTTATCTTAAGATTGTATACATTTTCAATAGGGCAGGCTCATATGAAAAGTTCATTTAACATACTAGTCTATAAGAAATATATCTTCCAGCAGTTTCAGAAGGCCTAATAATTTTTACAACCTGTCCACGTTTCAAACCAAAGTAACGTGCTACAGGATCACCAGCCTGTATACGCATCAGCTGATTTTCTTTCAACTTATACCTGGTAAGTAATTCTTCCTTCTCATCCGGAGTAAGTACAATATGTTCAGGTACCAATTCATGCTCAGTTATGTTAATGAGTAACTCGGATTCTAAGAACTGTTCCAATATGTATTTGGGGGCCATGTCTACCAAAGATTGTTTCGCGGATGGTGTCATGCCTTGTTGCACAACAATTATAGCCCTATCATAAGAAATATTTACTTAAAATAGCACTGGTAAAAGATAATTAAATGTCAAATAATGATTCCTATATTCTAAAAGTTTAGCAACGAATTACCTGTGAATTTTTTCTTCCTGCATACGCTGACAATAAGTTTTAATGGTTTTGATGCCAATTTTAGGCTCATCGGGAAAGAAAACAAAAAGCTGATCTGTAGGATCGTCGTTGTGGGCTACCAAAACAATTAGATCACTGCGTGCTGGTCTTTTTTCACTCGGTTTATCACCGAATTGCTCCTTAAATTGTTCTAAAGTCTGATCCAACTCATCCTGAGTAACGAGATAACCTCGATCGTGGCATAACTGCATCACCGTTTTTCTAATTCGCCACAATTTATACGTTTCAGCTTCGTCATCCATTTCTCGATTAAATAAAATCTAATTCTATATGCGAACTGTTATTATTACTGTTATAAATTCTGTCCGATTGCTACTTTACTTAGCCTGTAATGATTAGCGGCGAAAATGCGTCTCTGTTTCCATACACATAACCTGCCACACATATGTCAGTTAGGGTACAAATGTAGGGTACAATCTAGTCGTTCGAAAATTGATAATTACACAGATTATTAGCAGATACTTAATCACACATGAAAAGATTGTAAAATAAATTATTAACGGTGTGCACGTTTACGAGGAATCACGAGCAATGCAAATATACGCTGGGGACATCTAACAGAGAATAACATGTACTAAACTCTTGTGCCACCTCCTCTTATTTACGACCTCCTGTTTCATCATGCTTCGCGCGTACGTACCAGGAGCTTATGAAACGGTTTCGAAAGTAGGTGGCACGAGCATTACGCTCTGTCCTTGTCGCACAATCTACTTCTCTTTGTCTTACACATTACAGACATTAGAAAAGCAAACAACCCTTCCAGAAATAGTTAATAATTACTTTATTTTATTTCTAACTAATCAACCAAATGCTAATTATGTTTCAGGGGTTCCTTTTCTTCAATAAATACAAATTTTGTATTAATACAGGCATGTAGGAATGAAAATTGAGATAGTTATGGCTTTAATAATACTTTTATTTAATAAATCGTAAAAACAATACACCATTTTCTATAGTATTTATGTAAGCATTCAACTTCTCATAATCTCACAATATTGCATGCTTTAGACTTTGCAATATTGTGGAAAATTGGCTACTCAAGTATGGAGTTAGGTTCGTTTTTTAATTTACCATTTGATTATTCAATTCTGCCCCATTTGCTTAGATATAAACTCTTTATCTCTATTCCAAAGTATACTGCATATGGCATTTAACTGATAAGAATAATCAAATATTTCAGATCTTGTTGACAATTTATTAATATCAACCCTGATAACTTTAACTTTCCATTTGTCTTCAAACTCCTTTATCCTTGCATCCTCTATTGTAGAACTTGACCATGGTTTAAATCTATAAAGGGTTGTTCAGATATGTTTAGACAATCATAGAAAATATTGAAATGTAGTTATAGGAACAAATAAAGGTAAGTTACTAACTTACTTTGTTCCTATTACTATATTGGCTGGTTTTTCCTTTATAGATGCCATTGTATTCATCAAATATGGAACATCATTAAAACCTGTGGCATCATCGAAACAAAACACAGAACATATGGCATCAACTTTATCCTTGCATGCCTAAAAATTTAAATGATGGTGACTTGTGTTCGTATACATATAACTTGAATATGTTCTACATACAGGCAGTATATGATTATATTTTTTAATGCTTGTTTCAGAAGTATCCCAAAATTGTAATTTAAATAAGACAACTTTATCCCATATCTTGACTGGCCAAAAGACATTTGTCTTCTTTATTCCATTTGTTTCTACGTAATTAATGGACTCCTGTATACCAGCCAAATGTGCTACAACAGATGTTTTGCCTACTCCTGATCTGCCAACCATAAAAATTTTATATGTAACTTCCTCAATTGAAGATGGTAAGGGTGGTCTTTCTAGAATACCTACAAATTTTGGCAGAATGTGACCACCTGATTCATTAATATCAACTAAATTTATAAAATTACAAATCGTCCATCCCATGATTATACTATGTACCATAAAATCGTCTTTTCTTCGACGTGTTCACGTAAAAATGATGCACCAACGATTCACCTTCCATCGAATGTAACCAATTCACGTTTATTGCGTTCATGATGGAACGCGAAAAATATAAAAGAATGAACCGACAAATTCAGGAATCAGCGGTAAATATTGACGATCATCTTCGTTCCATTCGTTCTGTATCTAAGAAGAGTACGAATGAGTGAGAATTATTTCGGGTTAAGGATGCCAAGCTTTACAAAATCTTTAGTTGTTCCTCCTGTTCTATTCAAGTAACAAATACATACTCTTCTTAACAATGTGAGATCCTTCATTGGATACTTCCAAACTGATTCGAATCATAAGTAATCATTAGTTACAGCGTTTTTAATAAATATTCAATCTTTCGCTCTTAGAAATAAAGTCACTTTTGTAACGCCATCTACGGAAAAACACCCAACTTACAAGCCAATTAGTACCAAATGGTGACCACGGGATAGTACCACCATTCAAATTTACACAAATTTCAGGTCACTGTTCTACGATTTTCCTTAGACCATTTTCTACACCAAACATTTAAATTAAAGTTTACAGAACATAGATTAGAGTTTAATAATTCTTAATTAACAATATAATTTTTATTAGATAAAAAACTGCCGAGTTGTGTGGTACTGAATGATTGTGCCATCTTACGATAAAATATGAGTACTAAATGGCTAGTAGCTTCAGCCTTTTTCCGTAGATGGTGCTAAAAACCCATTCAATTCCTTTGTCAACACACATAAAATGATTAAATATTAATTAAAAACACCACAATCCGTCGTTATTAATGCATAATATCAATTCAAATGGCTTCCATATGCTATCTGATACCTTTAGATGCAATTTTTATTCTGAATGTGTGTAGTTATTCTGTATTTTTGAAAAATGCTTGACATACCACTGAATACTACGATACATGATACATTTCTGCCGTTGACTCTTGGAATGTATCGTGGTACGAACAACTATTCTAATCCTCAGTGAAGATATGATTCTACGAATCTCTTAAATATACGTATCTGTCAACCAATCAGAATAAGTCCCGCCTTACCAGAACCAATCGCAATCATTCCAGTATGTCAATGCAAAGGGACACTAATTCCATTAGCACTGAAGTTGGCGTCAATTCGATGAATGCCACATTGACCAATAAAATCCATTTACAACACGTAACGCGTTGTTTGCAGTTGCGTCGCCATATTGTATATTTAACGCGGGTTACTGGCGCGTGTATGGGCTTTCTGTAGCATTTTCCGCTGAATAAAAGTGCGTGAACTAAAAAGTATTGTCAAATATCACGCGCAATGGATCCAGAAAAGTTGAAAGTGGTCGAATTAAGGACAGAACTCTCACAGCGTGGACTCGATACGAAAGGCGTCAAGTCAGTGCTCGTAGAAAGACTTCGTAAAGCATTACAGGAAGAAAATGCAAGTCGTAAGTTGTACATTCTTTAATCAGTGGTATTTCGTTGACTTGAATACTTCTACTTGCGTTATTCATCGCGTAATGATCAACGTACCCCGTTTACTCCAATGTTGACAAACATTCGGATCAGGTGATAGCGACCATTCCAATGATTTCTCTGCTACGTAATTCGACCAACAAATAATCAGTCAAACAGGTCAAAGCAGTGTATTTATCATCACTAAAAAGTAATCGGTAACCGTAAGATAAATGTTTCTTATAATTCTAACCACGCGCAAACAGAAACCTTACGTTCTTGTTTTGTGTTTACATACGTTCTTGCGCGCGACGCTCCCCGAAAATTTTCTTCATATTTAATCGATACACTTCTTCTTTGACTCATCTTAATTATCTTCATCGTTTACGTTTACAATTATTTTTCGTTTGTATAATTTTGTGTATACTTATCATTATTTTTTAACTTGCTTTGATACAAACACACCTTGAATTTATAGAAGATGAAGGGAAAGCAAATACCTTTGCAGAAAATACACACGATGTAACAAGCCAAGAAAATGATGAGAGGTCGTCAGAATCGGCCAAAGTACCACAGACACCGAAAAAATCTAGTAGACTGTCCAAAAATGCAGCACCGGTGACACCACGTGAAACTCCTGGAGCAAAGAAACGAAGGACTTCTAGGGTCACTTACTCTAGGAAACGGACTTCTCCGAAAAAATCAGATCAAAATGATAGGTCTCGTGAGTCATCACCTGCAATATCAGAACCTGCTCTACAAGAAGAACCTACTATATTGGAGGAAGGTACGGGGCAAGAAGACATTGCCTCGCAAGAAGAAAAATCTGAATCCTTGGAAAGAATCAAAGAAGCAGAAACAGAAGAGCCACTGCAAAATGTAAAAAATGAAAGTTCAGATGCAATGAAAATTACAAAAGATGAAGATGAAACAAAAGATAGGGAGAGTAAAGCAGGTGTTGCACAAGTATTTAATGCAAAGTCACCTGTAAAGAGTAACGACAAAGAAAATTTGTCTGTGAAAAAGTTAGAGGAAAAGGTAGATTATAAGGATCAACCTCAGGAACCAATACAGGTTGCTGAGACGGAAGAAAACTTGGAAAGTACAGAGGTTTTATCAGACAACAAACTTAGTGAGACAGATATAGTAAAGAATGATGAACCAAGTACATTTAAGGAAGAAGAAAATAGAATGGAAGACACGAAAGAGGAATCTCTTGAGAATGACAAAGAAATGGTAGAAGCACCAGATGATGTGCAAATTGTAGAACCTGTTAGTGACATTAAAACTAGCGACATTCCTCAAACACAAGAACCAACAGACGATTTACTTGAGCAAGAACAGAATACAGATGAGAATGAAAATGACGAAGCAAAACCTGAAGATAGTTCAATGGAGGATCAGAATATTTTATCGGGTAACGAAAAAGCAGTGGACGATATTATTGACGATAAACAAAATGAACAGGTATGCACAAACAATTCTTTGTTGAATGTACATTTTTTTTAATGTAACAGATACTTGTATTTTTAATTTTCACAAGTTTAGACTCTTGGATTAACTATAGGTCCTTTTCTGTTTCGTAAAATACATTTTACGTTTACGCCATTCGCCAACTTTATCTTCTCTGTACTTTTATCTCGTGTAATCCGCGATCTCAGTAAAATATAGAGGACTGCAAATAAAATCAACAGATAAACTTGAAACAATGTAACCACGATGCTTTTCGTAATTGTGTTTCAAAATTGAAGCAATTGAAATAAATTTAGTTGTCCTCGACATTTCGATACATGAGAACCTTACTGTATCTACAGGAAATATTACTTTTTAATCATTGACCTGTTTTCGTTTACGTGGAAAGGATGTAGAAATGACGGAACTAAAAGTCGAAGAAGATACAGACGTAGAATTGAAAGAGCAAGGTAAGAATGAAGCCATAAAGGATCGAAAGCGGAAAAGATCGCCTAGCCCTATGGAAGATCGTGAAGATTCACCCGCAGTTGAACTCATCGAAAACGAACCCGAAATCGACGATGCTGCTTTAATTTTATCTTGGTGTAGGTGTTTTTTTTTTTTTAGTATAAATCGAAATAAGCACATTACGTTCCTTTGAATTAGTTAATTGTACAGAAATTTTTTTGTAGATGATTCGGATTTGAATTTGGTTATCGACAAGGAAGGATTTTTTACTGCTACCCCAATGCACAACGATGGATTCTCGCATATGTGGGCTGGCGCAAGAGCTTCGTATGGTTTTCTTCGTGGAAAAGTGTATTACGAAGCAAAAATCGTAGACCTATGCCCTGCCGATAGAGAAAACGAAGAATACCCGCACATACTTAGAATTGGTTGGTCGACTCCGTACACATCGATGCAACTTGGAGAAGACAAGTTCAGTTTCGGGTACAGTAGCAGTGGTAAAAAATTAACCGATAATCAGTTCGAAGATTATGGGCTTCAGTTCGGTAAAGACGACGTTATTGGCTGTTATTTCGATGCAACATCCGAGAATAGTATCGTGTTGTCGTATACCATAAATGGGAAAGACCAAGGCACGGCTTTTAACATCTCGAAGGAAGAACTCGGCGAGAAATCATTATTCCCGCATGTTTTAAGCAAGAACTGTAGCTTTTCCTGTAATTTCGGTCAGGAGAAACCATGGGCTGAAGAAGTTCTAGACGATTACACTTCCATTGGACAGATAGATTCTCAGCATAAGATTCCAGGTCCACGGAGACCCGACAAAAAAGAAGAATGCGAAGTTATAATGATGTGCGGATTACCCGGTTGTGGGAAGACCACTTGGGCGATCAAACACGCGGCCGAACAACCCCACAAAATGTACAATATTTTAGGACTCGGTAGTCTAATCGACAAAATAAAAGTATGTAGATTATACGGTTTGATAAATTACAAGAACGTACCACATATACCGAAATATATTTTAACAACGTTATTTCAGGATTCAGATTTGTCGCACAAAGAGAACAACAATGATCAGTGGGAGGTTCTTATCGATAAGTGTACCCGCGTGTTAGATAAGTTACTGGAAATAGCTCCAACTAGAAGACGCAACTATATATTAGACCAGGTATGTACGACATATTTACTCATTAACATTTGCGATGTTCGGTTTCTCCACCTATTTTGTATCTCATTTTTTTAATAACCACGTTTGTATGTTCCATGAAATTGGAATACAGACAAATGTATATCCTTCCGCACAAAGGCGTAAAATGAAGAATTTCAGTGGGTACCAGAGAAAAGCGATGGTATTGGTACCCTCCGAAGAAGAATTCAAATCGCGCGTTGCTAAACACAAACCGATCGAAGGCAAGGAACCTGCTGAATCTGTACTAATGGAAATGAAAGGTTTGTTAGAATATTTCCGAGCCTGAGACTGCTGTATATTACACTGATATATTTTAGAACCTTGATTTTATATACCTCAACTTACATGATGTATTTGGTTCCAGCAAGTTTCCGAGCTCCGGTCGTTGGCGAACATTTTGACGTTGTCGAATGGATCGAACTGAGTCAGGAGGATGGCGAGAAGCTTATAATCAAATACCTTAAAGAGGCAAAAGAAGCCGGCTACGGTCAACAGCAAGCGAGTAAACGACCACGATTCGATTCAAGACCAGAGAATGCTCGAGAAAATCGCAATAACGCGCGAAGTAATCGCGATAACCGGGACAGTCGAGATTATCGTGACAGACGTGGCAATAATTGTAAGTGTTGTAGGAAGAATGAAAAAAAGGGCTAAATAAATACTCGAGAAAGATGATACTATTCCCAGTAAATGATGTTCACAGATTCTGAGAGGAATCGTAATCCTGGCTGGCGAGGTGGTGGTGGTGGTGGTGGGGGTGGTAACATGGGTTGGAGGGATAGACCTCAAAGGGGTGGACATAGGCACGGTGGCGGTTACGGTCCACCAGTATCGTGGAGAGGTGGTCGAGGAGCACCTATACCACTTGTACATCGTGGAATGGATAGAAGAGGCGGTACTGTAGACAGAAGAATGGGAAACGATAGAGGTCGAGCCGTAGGTTCGCGTCAAGGTGGCTGGGCTCCAATGGGGTAAGCAGAGTTCTCAATTCATTTCACTTTTTTTATGCGTGTTTCTTCTCGTAATGTGTATGTATTGTGTATGTGATAATAAAATTGTGCTTTTTCTTTTCATGCAAGAAATTATGCGGGGTCGCAACAATCCGCGTGGAATCAACAAGGTAATTGGTCGAGTGGCCAAGGTACTGCCTGGGGACAACAAAATAACTGGGGATCGCAACAGTGGGGTAGCTGGAAGAGCTACGGTCAGAGCTCTTACAGTCAGAACAACTATACTCAACAGGGCTACGGTAACGGAAATTGGAACAGTTGGAATCAGCAGTATTACAATCAGTATTGGGGCCAACAACAACAGCCGCAACAGCAACAGCAACAACAGGGCAGTCTAACTAACACGAGTGGTGATCAAACTGTAAACAAACAATAATCCACCACGATAAATGTCACAAGAGTGGAACAGTGAGGTACTATTACTGACTGTTATTTTGTTCTCATTTAAATCTATTTCTTAAGTAAGAAAATTTTGTAGTGCAAGATTGTTAGAGAATATTGCTCGAAGAATGTCTTGCGAAAAAAAGAAATTGAATCCGTACACCGTAGTAAGTGAACGAGATCTAGGATACAATATTCTTATCAATTCTTTCGGTTTACTTTTGCAGGCAAACACGGTGGAAAATGTAAAAAAAACTGCTTTAACTGGCGATTCCACGATAGGATATAGTCTCCCTCGATATCTACGAGGAGTATATGAAAGCTATAATCTTGGTCAGAGTGTTGTCAATGCCAGATTGGTTGGTTTTGATTGCACACACTCGAATAGATGGGGCAAATTTTTCCACGACAATATATTCACGATTTTTTTTTTGTTCGTATGTCGTATACGATATACAAATTCCAAAGTTATTGTGGTTTTATAAATCAAGTAACGATTTAGATTTGTCGCGTGAAGGCACCGTTACACATGCACCATAATACTGATTTGCATTGGAAGAATGCAGTACGAACCGTTGATGGATTATATAGCATTATGTAATTGCAATTTAAGGTTGATTTTCGAGAGGGGATCGCGTCACGACGCTAATGAATTTCGATTACGTGCGTGATTTTTTAACGAACAAAAGGGGGTAAACGTATAGTATAAAACGTCTTGTAACGCCTTTGAACGAAAAGACCTACCAAGAAGAAAAGTGTCGCGTATGGGTACACTATACAATTAAACACGAAAAGATTAAAAACACTTGCAACGGTTTATCGCTCTCGGAAAAGAAACGTGTAAATATGTACAGATTTTCAAACGTATTGCACGGAACGTTTATTGGAAATCTATTTATACATATATTAAGCAAAGTACCATACCATGTAATAAGGAGAGAAAACAAAAAAATACAGATCCGAGTTCTCGACAACACACGAGAGTGATATTGTATATGATTTTGTTTTATCTTTCTATATTAATGACAGTGTTGTACAAAAAAAGAGAATATCGTGTCACGAATAAATTATTAGACCTGATTTATATTTATCCGCGTTTTATTGAACGAATGAATTCGCGGGACTACCAGAATGTATTTTCAACTGTCGAATTGAATGATCTATTTTATAACTATCTAATATTGCTCTATGATCAAAAAAAAAAATATGCATTTTGTTACCCAACGTAAATCTCTTCTCCTTCGTCACTTTCCTTCTCCTTTAGTCAGATCACGCTGTCGTTACATACCCTTTTCCTCGTCACGGTTTTTTTAATTGCCCTCGGTTGCCCGCTGGAATAATCTCGGTTAACAAAATAGTACCCATCTTTCGTACGTTATGTTTCCGATTGTAACAAAGGAAATCGTTAGTTCATAGTTACAGGATGATTGTCTTTTTACCTCCTTTCTTTTAAAAAAAAATCTTATTTACAGTTTACGAGACTTCGAATTAAGGTACTTTAATCGAAGCATCGAAGGACATAAATAGATGCAGATCGAAGAGAATATAATAAGAAACGTAGGGAATGTGTGTTCCGTATATATACGCGTGACCACGATTCGAAGTCGACTACAAATCGAAGAGTGCTACATTTGCGTCAGATCACGAATCTATATGAACAAAATTTGTTTCCTCTCGTTCGAATAGAATAAGAGTATCGCCCAAAATTAATCCGTAATCGGAGAATTTACTTGTTGACAAAAGTGTACAAACTTAAATCGTAAAAATAAAAAATATCTTCTATTTATTTGGAGTTTAAACTATTTACAACCCAGATCGGATCGGCGCTATTTACCTGCTAGAAATATCCTGTAACAGTAATTCAGTCTTCACGCATACTTAACGTAAACCGTCAACGACTACGTTGACATTGTTGGTCTACAGACAAGAATTTAAATTAATTCAACATGATTTACAAGACCGCGTTGCAATTTATCCGACGACATTTAGAACGCATCGTGTAATTGGAATCGCACGGCCATTCCGATCGAAGGGGAAATTACCGGAAAATCTCTTAGGTACCACCGCACGGTAACAGAATTTTGTATAATCTTTAAATGAATATCGAATGTCTACGATTCAGTTGACAGAAAGCTGCATGTGTTTATTCACGTCAGAAACAATTAAAAAATAAAGAAGATTTATATCGCGAAACTAGACGATTTTATAACGTTGATTACAAATAACAATATCGATTAAGGTACAGTTTCTGTTTAGAGAGTTTTCAAGGCGAATGAGATTGGATAAAATGCATTAAAAACATATTATTGGCTTTCGCCGACGGACCAAATCATTAAAGTCTACTCAAGTACAAAGATATGTAAGTGTAAATGTCATTTTCTCGAGCGATAACCCGTTTTGGTGTCACGTCAAAAGAAAAGAACTAGAAAGAATTATTGCAGTACCATTTTCATGCGACGAAACATCTCGGACACGGTGCAGAATATTAAAAAAAAAAAAAAAAAACACGATGTAAACAAGATGTGATTATGCGTATTAAATAGCGTTTAATTATATGTATTTACTAACTGCATAATGTAATAATAAATACGAAATCCTGCGTATATTCATCGTTATAGCGACAGTTAGCTATATTCGATCGCGATCATTAATAAATTAAATATGTTAGTAAATATTTATCTATCAATTTAAAAACCTATATATTACACTTAATTCAAATAACACTGGGCTTATGAAAAATATATTAATGGTACTTTTGTGCAATAAAGCCTCGCATGTACTCGATTCCGTTCTTGTCGGTCTCTCTGTTCGCCTCTTTACACGCGGCTGGGATTTATACACACTCGCGCCACGCGTATCGTTGGTCTCTCTCGATCCGATCGATCCCGAGTACCGTAGAATTTGTACACTTAAGTGTATTCGCTATGAATGAAATTTACAAATACTTTTATACAATTCCGCGATTCTAATTACATTAGAATTCTACGAGAAGTAACAGTTCTCTCTTGGATCCAATTTCGATAGATGCATTGTTTCGCGTATGGGATCAAGATTCTCGATCCAAGTCGATCCGTTTTTCACGAAAACAAATTATCTCTCTAGTCAATTGATATCTATACGTACAATCTTGACACGGTATAACAGTTGCAAATATTCCTAAAAACGATCGCAGGATTACCTTTTCCTCGAGTCGCAACGCCGTTATCTACGCGAAAAAGGAAAAGCTAATCCAAGGTAGCAAGAACGATATATGCTAAGGAAACTGTAAAAGATTTCGATTGTAATCTTTAGTCGGAAATTTTCTACAGCTTCGCGCGCGTGTAAAAACAACATATAAAAAAGATCTCGACCGATAACGACATCCTCAATAAAAGGTAGCGTTCGCGTACATGATTAAATATGATACGAATGGACGGGTCGCGTTAATATAGAGTGTGAGAAGATGGGAAACACGAATATTCGTCGTTTACCTTATATGAAACGGATCGAATGGAATCAATTTTTTTTTTTACTTATAAACGAAGCGAAACGATCATCAACCGATCGGTTTGATTACGGATTTCTCTGTAACAGAGATTAACAGTGGGGTCCGTATCGCGTACGGAAATATTAATGCCGTATTATTATCGTTGCTGTATGATCCAATGTCACGGATTCAATCCACCGGGTCTTTTTCGATTTCGTCTATTCCTCTCCAACAAGAACGACAAATCTAACGGATCCTTTTTGTTCGGCATTTTTTGTAGCAAGCCGGTTAAAATATTATTTAATCTTCGCCTCTGCTCTTCTCTCTGCAAACGAGAAACAGCGCCGATTGTGTTACGTTATACGCGTATCCCGACGATACACCTGCCGTACACGGATGAAATAAATTAGAAATCATACTACCTGGGCGTACGATGTCGCCGGTGTGGGGATAGATAAGATTTCGTTCGACCGTCGTCTACCCTTACTCGTGGAAGATTTCTGTTGATCTTTGCTTTGCGTTTTCGAGTTATCACTCGATTCCGACTTCTGATTTGTCTCCAGATCCTGATTGTTCATTTTCTTCTTTTCTTTAGTCATTTTATTCCCGATTTGTATCCCTTCGAGGCTGTGAGGCTGTAAGAATTTGTCAAACAATTTTTTCTTCTCGCGATCTTCCTATTACAATGGACTCTAACTATATTGCCATGGTCGGGGCTGTAGGGGAGTTAAATGGCAATGAATTCAGAGCCCCCTCCATGCTAAATTCTATCGTTTTCAAAAGCTGGATCTTGCTGGTGCGCCGGCGTACGCAACTTGGCGAGAGAACGAATTTGTGTGTTCGAAAGTACGTATTATGGGGAAGTGCCACGCGTGTTCTATTTTTAAATGTTCTACTGACTTTTGGGCTGTCCACTGTATAGCATTGGCATCGGTACTCACCAAATACGTTCGATAATGTTTAATACGCTGTGGAAACGTCTCGAAAGCGTACGGTTTCGTGCAGACTTGATGCCTAGCTCTGGCGACCTTGGTGAACAGTCGAGCAGCCCGATCGACGCGATACTCGCACACGTAAGTATGTTCGGGCGTGGACCCAACCGGTCGGCCTATGTTAAAGGTAATAAAAAAAAAAATTGATCAAAGAATCCGCGACACGGAGTGGTACGATGAATAGTGAAATAAAGGATTAAGGACCAACTACCTTTGCAATAGGTATGGGGATCGAGAACCCAACAACGCTCGGCAACCAGATCGCACGGAACTGCTTCGTACAGCGGAGCGCACACGACCTCGTTCTCGTAAAATTTTCGTGTGGGCTCGTGATAGGTCTCGTGAGGTCTCAAATAATGATGACCGAACACGAATCGTTCCCCCCTGTCGAAACAAACGTACATGAACAATCTTCGACTGCCGAACTACAGGGTGTCCCGAAATAGCTTCGTTAACAAATCCTCGGACAACATTTTCGCTAAGGAAAAAGTTGTTTCAAATCACCCCACAAATCCCTTGTTTCCGGGAGTCGAAGTTATTTTGGAACAACCTGTATAACGGTAAACATTTTCCAACAACGAATGAATTCAACACCGCTGGTATATATATATATACGTACTCTGTATTCTTCCAGAGTCTCTCGATCCTGAAGATATCCATCTGTTCGTAATCAGGCTTCTGAATGGTTTTGTACGTATGCTTCTCCGGGGTGTCCCTCAACACATACACAGTGTCGCCTTGTCTGAGCTGTAGATCACCGCGCATTAGAGTGACATAGTGTTTCTTCCCCTCCTCCTCCTCGTCCCCCTCCAACGGTATCTCCAAATCAACAGAACGGGGCTGACATCTCTCGCACAGATAAGACTCGATACTCGTGTCGGCTTTCACGCAGTCACAGTGCTGCCAAACCAGGCATCGTTCGCACTGGATCATGAGTCCTTCGTCCCTGCGTAATAATGGATAAACCGAACGTTGAAGTTTAATCGGATGAACAGCACAGATTGAACAAAAAAAGAAGAAAAAAAAAACGCAACGCGTGAAAAGGTTACTTGAACCAAAGCCCACCTGTGCAACCCACAAATACACCTAATAACGTCTTCTTCGCCAGCAGTGGAACCCCTCGGGGGTAAAAATCCTTGAGAAGGAGGGCATCCCATCGCCTCCGTTATGGCATCCACGAAGTCCGGTTTACTTCCGAGGTACAATTTTCTCAGTCTAGCGGCGGCGATCCCCAATTCCGAGGTTCGTCCGAAGAATCGGACGTTATTGTCGAAGAGCTTGATCATATCGTGATCAAAATGCTCAGCGGTTTTATAGTGACCAGTCCCGATGCATTGGTCGATCGTGGTCAAATCTATAGGATCCGATATCTTCTCGTAATAATCCGGTAATTTTCGTTTCGAGGGCAACGTTACAAACGGCGAGCACAACAATTGCCCGTTCTCGTCGTTCGCTGTCGCCACGACGCTGTACAAATCTTTCAGTACCTGAAAGTTCAAATGAAAATGTTTCTCCGGTGATACTATACTTCAACGACTCGTTCGGTGAATTCGTTTCGTTTACCTTCGCCAGCTTCGCGGTTTTGTGGACTTCCGGATCGTCCTGAGCTTGCGCCAGCCTCCGAGTCCGCACTGTCCGCGTGTTCGTGTTGGTCAGAGCGGTCAATTGCGAGAAGAATGCATCCGATTGGATCTTAGCGTCGCCGGGACTCTTATCCTTGAAGGTGCTCGCATTTCCGAATTTCGCTTTACCGTTCTGCATCTGTACCTGGTTCACCAACGATTTCACCCGTCTCACCTTCTCCAAGTTCCTCAACAAGAAGCAATGGTGCAGTTGAGCGAAACATCGTTGCTGGTGAGACATTGGCTTCAGCGCGGGAGCATGAACCAGGCTCGAATCGCCGACTTTTCTAGATTTGCAAATGCCTTTAGAGTTGACGGACTGCACCGCGTTGGACTTCCGTATGTTCTTCCTCGGTCGGCCGACCGACCGCCTTTCCGTCGGTTCCAATTGAGACGGAAGTGGAACAACAGTCTTTGGAACCCTTTGACTCTTCCCACCTGTGGAACATAAAAGACACAAGTGGGAATAGGAAAACGCAAGGAATGGTTACACAATTCCGTAACAATAAAGTTTAGTCTCATCGTTACCTATTACGCCCCTGCACGCGCTACTACCACATCGACACTCCTGTCCCTCGGATGGATTAAACAACGCAAAATTGTAATCGTACGTCAACTCCTCCCCCGGTTGGATGTCTCTCGAGGCGAACAACGCCATACGCGGATGTCCGTGAACGCTCCACTTTTGCATCTCGCAATTAGGTTCGCAAGAATGATTCACGAATCGTCCGTCGCCCCCCATACGGTGTCCATCGATCACCAAACCCCCGTCCAGATGCAGACAATAGTGGTGGGTATCGTTCGCGTATCTAGGTTCGAACAGAAAAGAAAATTACGTTATCGATGCTCGAATCGTGCACGTCAATGTATTGTACCCACCGACGAGATATAAGGATACAGACCTTTCATCTTATGGGAGTTGGTGGCTAACCTAAACTGTAGTACCGACACCTTAAAAATGCCTGTGATTTTAGTGATCTCTACAGACGTTATGAGAACGGTGAATCTACGTTATGAATTCGGCGGGTGGTGACATTAAAATAGAAATGGGGCAACGTTGCCGAAGAAATACATTGGATGAAAGGTCTATTCTTACACTTTATCGTTGATTATAAACCCACAAGTAAACTCGGCTTCCGCTAGGGGAAAAAGTGACGTAGTAGAAGGGCCTCCTACCACTTGGTATTGGGACTTACCGGAATTTATTCCAAATTAACATTCGATTTAACATTTATCTCAGTATCTGGAATAAAGTTTCCAACTGGTGTAGGAGGCTCTCACCCTTACGTCGCTTTTTCTCTTAGTGAAAACCAGGTTTTCTCGCGAGGGTACGTAACTGTTTCGTTCGATATACCTGGTCGCCATTCTAGATTTGAACTCTCTCTCAGACACGACCTCCCCCACGTACTCGAGGATAAATACACCGGTTTTGATGGCCTCTTGTGTCCTCACACCCCAACCTTTATTCTCCGTCATGAACTTCTGCAACCCGGGCGCCCATTCGTGTTTCTGAATTTTTTGATTCTCACATTTGTCGCCGCATGGGCAGAGCTGCGGCGAACATTCGCTCAGAACCATACGATTGATGCAATCGTCGCCGCAGCCGCTTTCCGGTTTGCATTCGCAGGCTTGAGCCTCGTACAGTGTCGTCGGTTTCACGTCGTAATAAACGTTCATACGAATTTTCCTACGAAAGAAAACAAAAAGACACGATTGAAGCATACGTTACACACCGATGATACTTTTTTTATCAGTGCGCAGTGTGGTATTTTCCCAATCCAGCTGAATTTAACTTAAAAAACAAATCTGCAAAACACCACACAATGTGCAGCTTGTCTATCGATCTCTTACTTGTAATTCCACGATGGTACCGATTCCCTACCGGGCAGCCTGGACTGCGTGTGCAGCCACCATAAGTCGTACGGCAGCTGAAAAGACATCTTCCGTTGTCGCAAGAATTTCCCGCATTGATACGAAGCCGACAACAGAACCGTAGACTCGTTCGCATCCCCTGCGATTTTACTTTTTCCTGAAGTGTCCGTACTGCTACTGCTGCTGCCGCTTCGCGTCTTCGACTCGCACTCCTTCCCGTAGTCCTGCAACACACCTCCCTGCAGGTAACGTTTCTTCCATCTCGACTGTTTCTTCCTAGTGTGGGTCGAGCTCGAGTGTTTCCCAACCTCTGACTCGCCGCGCACAAGAACATTACTGTTCGACACATTGTCGTTCTCCGTGTCGTAACCGGCGCTACGCAAACGTTTCATGTTTCTCGGTACAAGAGTGCAAGGACTGGACGAACCACGGCGTTTCTTTTGACTTCCATTCAACGGACCAGAATGCTCCGTTTTTATACTTGTCTGGGAACCTCCACGTTCAGGATGATGCCTCGATTTTTCCTCTGTCGGCTCGACGACGCAACGTTCCTGTTCGCCCGACTCGTACCTCTCGAGCGGATCCTCGAGGGGCGCGTTCTCGTCGTACGTTTTCGTGTCCTGGATCTTCTCGTACTTCACCGGACAGAGTTTCTGCGACGTGTTTTCGTTCGGTGGCGTGCTGGTCTCCGGTTCGACGAGGTCTTTACGTACCCTTAATTGTCCAGAACGCGATTCGGAGAGTTCGTTCGAACGAGCACGACTTAACGAACCCTCCTGTTTCGTGGAATTAGCGTTCTCGGGATTCGAGACGTTGGGGACGACGGTATGCTTGGTCGAGAGTTGTGTTTCCCTGTCGTTGCTGCCCTCGATGCTGATGTCGTTGGCTGGTTTGACAACGTGCTCGGTAGATGCGAACGAATCTCGTATATCCGCGCTGAGCACGCTCGGTTTACTGTCCTCCATGGCGTCCTCGGTTCCCTCCTTGGACGAATTTCGATCGCCATCAGGATCACCGTTGTCGTCGCTGGTCGTTCCAGCTTTCGCAGTCGAGCCGGTCGTGGCTTCGCTCGGGCTCGACGATCTTTTCTTTTTCTTTTTCTTTTTCAGCGTCGGGAAACCGGTACGATTGATCGCCTTGCGACGCCTCATCTTCTTCTTCGTCAGAACCAACGCGGCGGAATTATTCGTCGGATTCGGAAGATTCTGAGCGTCGCTGTCCCGCGGTGGTTTGCTCTCGTTCGCAGTGTCGTTCTCCTCGTAGCTCTCGGTCGCTTGAAACTCCGCCGCGTCGACCTTTATATTCTTCTCCAGACGAGCATGTTCCGGCGACGCTTGCTCCGTCTTCTCGGGCTTGTCCGATTGATTCTTGTCTGGTTTTATTAATTTCTCAGAGTTCACCTTTTCGTTTTTACCGCAGGTCTTATCCGTATGGGCTTTGGCGCTCTTCGAGTCGTGGACGCCCTTTTCCGGTTTCCCAACCTTGCCGTCGTTCTTTTCAGGTTTCTCGAGTTTCTCGGCTTTATCCGAAGCGCCGTGACCGTTCTCAGTGGGGAGCTTTGTCACCGTGACCCTAAGATCCTTAACGATCTTCTTCTTCCGACGTGGCTGCTGCGTTTCCGGTTGTTCCAACGGTTTCTCTACCAACGACTCGGATGTGGGCGCGGTCGATTTCTCTGGGCTCGAGTTCTCGGCGTCCCTGTGTCGCTTCTTAGGTGTGATCGGCACGGTATCTTCTTGGGAAGAGGACGCGGAACTGCTGCCGCCACCGCCGTATCTCGTGATAGTAGCTTCGATAGCCTCCTCTATGTGACTCTCCGTACAATTGGTCTCATTAGCGGTCGGATCGATCGAACTCGAGTTGGAGCTTTGTGAACTGTGAGGACTAGACACGTGATAGTGCCTCTTCTTTAACGGCAACCTTTGCTCGTTCGGATTCGAATTCGCGTTCGCATTCACGCCGCTCTTCGAGTCGGTTCCTGGTAATGTCTTCTCCTTCTTCGAACGTCTCTTCAGCTTTTGATCGTCGCTCGACGCTACATCGCCCTTCCGTTTCTTCGTTAGTTTCTTCACACGGAATATCTGCGGCAATTCGGTATAGCCGACGGTCGCGTTGTTACGACCCAGACTGCAGGATCTGGCGAACTCCTCGATTAACTTCTCCAGCTCCTGTATGATACACGGATCGATGCGTATCGGATTCTTCGGGGGATTCAACGGTAATCGCCGTCGATGCTTGTGGTGATGGTGTTTGTGACAATGATTGTGTATAGGCTGCGTCGCTTTGTCGCACTTGTTGCTCGGTCGTTCGTCTTTTTCCGCTTTCAGCACCTGGCCGACAGGCAAGGAAATCAGAGTCTGCACACCAACGCCGTTCGTCTCGAACGCAGTCACGGCTCTCTTGCTGTTTTTGTTTTCTTTTAACACGCGTCGCGTGACCGGCGCGACATTCTTTTTCAATAAGCTTTGCCGCTTGGACAACGGGCCGGAATTGCTCCTGTTCTCTTTCAAACTTCTTCTGCCCGCGATCGTCTTTCTATCCGAGGTGACCCGTTCGCAGGACGATTGTTTCTGTCTACGTAACGGAATCGTCGATTTGTTGCTCGCGCTCGGTTTGTCTTTCCTCAGTTTCTTGCACATCCTCCCATCGCATTGATTCGCATCTTTTCCATATTTACTCGTAACAGTTCTACTTAGGCACTTGACGCGTGTGGGGGAACTCAAGTTGTTCCTTTTCCTATTCATCCTCCCCTGCGAGAATTGCTTGGGGACATTACAGCTACGTTTCTTTTGACAAACTGGCTTCTCCTTTAACTTCCTCGTCGAATCGCTCCCTTCTTCCTTCTCCTCCCGAGGCACACCGGTTTTATGTTGCATCGTTTTTGTTTTCCCTCTCTTGCTAGGAGGTTCCTCCTTCGCGACCTTTTGCGGTTGCTGTGACGTTACTTCTTTCTTCTCGTTCTTCTCCGGTTTCTCCGTCTTTTCGAGTTTCTCGATTTTCTCCGCGATTTCTGGCTTCAATCGCGGCCTACCTGGACCACGTGGTTGCGTCGACACCGACTTCGCCGGTCTACCAGGTTTGCGTTTCGGCGGATATAACACACGATCGACATTCACCGCCGGTTTCGCGGCTACAGTTTGGACTGGAGACTGCGTTTGAGCTGGTGGACTCGCGGGACTAATCGCCAAATGTAGGGGGCTGTTGTCTACCGACTGAATTCCCGAATCCGGCGACACGTTTGAAGCGCAAGGATACTCCGAATCGTTTAATTTCTTGCCCGCTTTACTTCGTCGTTTTCGTGGTTCCGATAACAAGGCTGTTTTCTCGACAAATTGTTGCAACAGCGTAGAACTATATACAGGTACAGGATTTTGATCACCATTCTCGCTGGTATCCGAATCGGCTCCGAGGGACATTCGTTCTATAGCTTTCGACACTAGCCGACCACTTTCCGAATCTTCAAACCCATCGAACGGAGCGTCTTCGTGTTCTTGATCCGGTAGAATAGCCGCCAAATCTTCTTGATTTATTTCTTGAAGCGGTGGATGTTGCTGCTGCTGCTGTTGTTGTTGTTGTTGCTGCTGCTGCTGCGGCTGTTGTTGCTGTTGCTGCTGCGGTTGTTGTTGCTGTTGCTGCTGTTGCGCGTGAGGGGACGGTAATCGACTTTCAGATGAATCCGAATCGTCACTACTGCATTCCGATGACTAAACAAAAAAACAGGAAAGTTGTCGACAAACACCGGTCATCTCTATTAAACGAAATCGCCGTTTCTTCCGTAGTTCTCACCGCCGTACTAACAATATCGAATAGTTTACCTTTGCCTCGCAATTTCCTTTAACTTTTTTCGTTACGTTTTTTCTGGTCTTTTCGCACCGCGGTTTTTCCATGTCTTCTTTTTTTGGACCTTTCATACTGATCTTTAACTTAAGTGCTCCCTGCAAGAGATACCGAGATTTGTCCGATTTGTAATGAAATTTTTGGAGTAAAACGAAACTATCTAACCGATCCGTTACACTGATTTCAATGCATTCGGGATCACGATACACGTACCGATTCGAAATTCGTTTCTTGAATGGAAAACGTTTGCTCGCTGTGTTCGGACGTACAATCCGAATTCGACCCTGTATCCTCCTCTTCTTCGTCGCCACTGCTCTCGTCGTCCGAGTCCGAATTCGAATCCGAATATGAGCAACTTCCTTCTGTACCACCGGAACTTTCGTCCTCAGAATCTGAATCTTCTTCGGAATCGACTGAATGTGTTCCTAACACGGCCAAATATTTATATTATGGAGATTAGGAATTGCCATTTAAGCATCAAAGTACTCTAGTAAAGCAAGCATTATGATACCATTAGGTTCCGTGGTTGGATCCCAACTACCTCCACCTTTTATGGCATCCATGTCAACGGTCGAAGGAAGTTCCCTTTCCTGCTCCCCATCATTCTCTTCCCAATTCCAGTTCTGTAGTTCTAACTCCGACGGATGATGAATAACAGCACTCCATCCTGAATCAGCAGACATTTTTTGGCTTATCTAACATCCAATAGAATCCAATAGAATACCATTCCTTATGATTTTGTCTGTTGATCGCCTTTTCTTATAGTCTTATAAACCATATTCCTCTTAACGCGTACAACGGTCAAATTTTATGTGTGTTGGCCAAACTCCCATGTTTGCCAACTGATTCATATCCAACGTTCCTTGCAGATGTAATTACACTTTACTCATTATTACATAACTGTAACAAAAAGAATGAAAAATAGGTATCCATATAAAAAAAGAACACTATCAAAGTAATTATCGTGTATGAGAGCCACAGTTCAAACAATGAAAGCAAAAGAAAAGCACAGTATATCCGACCTATATAGACAGAGAGGGGAGCATGAGATTGCTGTCACCAAACACAGTTTCCAAATCATTCGAATCTCTTTATAGAGCAAATTAGCACACCGTTCCCCCCGAAACAGAAATAGATGTCTCGTTAAATTTCGAATTGTGATATGCGATTCAACAGTACATTTCGAAGTTAGGCACACGGTTTTGGGATTGGTGTACTCCAAGCGCGGGAGATCGTTTACGTATAACCTAGTACAGGGAACGAACATCCGAACAGAAATCACGAGCACGCGAGTAATGTAAGTAGCTTCTTTCACGGTGTAACGGTGTACCTTCGAGTATCGTTCCCAGTGATCAAAGAAGACAACGTCATCGAAGATATGTTACGCGTCGTTGTACGTTGATGCGCGCGTATTTCGGGGACACGCGCGTCACTTTTGTGTACGCACAGTAATAGCGACTGATGGCAACGGTAACGTAACGCCAGTGCACGCGCGAACGACACGTTAAATAGGATAAAAAAACGAAACAATTGTGTCCAAAAGCTATCGCTCTGTTTACATCGTCAATGAAGCACACAGTGATCTCGAGAGTAACACAGAATGAGGGACAGAGAGAGAGTGAGAGAGAGAGAGAGAGAACGCGAAGAAGAGATACAGGAAACGAGAGGGAGAAAGATAGTTTGTGAGAGCAACCGACCTACCAAGAGGGGACAGGGAGAAAATGTAAGAGAAGGACAGAGAAAGTAGGAGAAAAAGAGGGAGAAAGGTTCCAGATCGTTGAAATAAAAAAAAACTAAAAGGTAAGCACGTTATCGTCGAAGCGAGCGCCTAAAGCGTGGTGTAAAGAGTGGTGAAGCGAGAAGTAGGCTCATACGCGACAATGACAGACACGATACCCTGAGGCCTCCTTCCTCCGCATCACACAAGTAACGTAACGAGGATCCACACGATTCTGGATCGACGATTAACCGACGATATTCCTCAAGTTGCTTCGAACGGACAGCTGTTTCTGTTTCTCGGTCGATGCGCCAGGTGCATCGGCGACAGAACCCGTGGAAACTCCCGTGTATTCATGTAGAACTCAAATTGCCGCGCCATCTAACGTCGAATGCCACCGTTACATCTCCATAGCGGCCTATACGAAATTCTACGTTCTATTTTCTGTGCGTTGGCCCTTAATCCTAACGGACTAGTCGGCTATTACGATCCTTGATCGTTCCATGATTGAACATTACATCGTTGTGAACATTTTTAAAGAAGACATATGTCTGTTTTATCTGTTCCACATAAATCGATCTATTTGTGGTTGTCGGCGTTACGAGAATCGACGAATCGAACAAACCTTGTAAAAATCCGTTGACGATGTTGATTATTCGAACGAAACCGGATTCATAGTCAGGTTTGTTTCCTCTGTATCACAAGTCGCGTAAGTATATATCGCAACGACACTACATTCATCGAATGACATTCGATAAATCGATAATCATGTTGCTCCGATTGTCATCGATAATCGAACGTAATAATTATCGGTGGTCAACATTTTTATTTATCGAGCATTCGAGAGAAATGTCCCGCCACAAGAACGATAGATTTAACCGTATCGATCGATCAGTGTGATCAAAATAGGATCGATATGTTCGATACTCGGTGTATGATGAATTGAACGGTTGAAATGCGGTAGCAAAGACGGGGGGAAAACATGGCAGAACGAAATAACGTTCGGTACGCGAGTATTCCCTCTAGGTAGGCGTGTGCATCAAGACGAAGGGTGGTAGGAGTATGGGCTTGGAGTCGGCAATATGGCTGGCCAGATGTGCATAGGCAGGGTGTTGGGGTGGTGTTAGTGTCGTGCGTTATTTATGTCGAACTACCGTAAATCCTGCCCGAATCTTGCGTGTTTTCATGGAATTGGTGATATATTGTGCAGAAGCAGGAATACGGCTTGCATGAAGGCATAGCATACGCTTCCGAGTCAAACAAACATGAAGTAAGTTCCACGTACATGACATAGCATCCGAAGAAAGAGAAGCTTCAGCCGAATCCGATCGAGTTTCATGGCTTCGAGCACCGCTTCGTTTTGTCTTCATTCGAACGATCCTCTGTGCCTGTACAGGTCTATACAATCTGTAATTTAGATTCTCTTGTCATGTTCTGACATTGATCTTTTTACGATTTTTTTTTCATCGATGCTTAATAACGGCGTTTCGGCGTTTTCGTTTTACCAAAAAGAAACCTATTCGCTGTTGGCATTCGGTTTCCACCGGGGGGTAGGACCTCGATAACGATTTCACTTCCCGTGGAATGTTACCGTTTCATTCTTTTCTTTTGTTTCGTCCTTAGGGTTCGCGGGAGCATCCCTATTTCGCCCGTTTCGCTCGTTTTACCGAATTCCTCGGTTCGCTCCCCGTGTCCCGGCGTTTCACGTTCTAAACTCTTTGTGTGTATCATAAACGCAAATTGTGCTTCCTCCTCTCCTTGCTCGTTTCGTGTCCCTTTTATGTAGCGTGTGCATCACTTGTGTGTACGCGTAGGTATAACGTGTAAAACCGGAGCGAACCAGACGAGGATACAGTGTGAAAATTGTGTATCGCTCGTTTGTTTATGTTAGACGAAACGTCTATTCTCACGCAGGCGCGATTTCGTAATTATACTGTCACTAAAGATTATCTCGATGATCGCATTCGCTTCATTCATGACATCCTTATCTTCGATGGAAAAAAATCCATCGAAGACTACATTGGATTTTTCGATAACGCTTTCACAACTGATCAATGAATCATGTTGTGATTCATATACTTCGTGTACGGAAGTACATGACGTTTCGATAATTGCTTTATCTTCTCGAATCATGTGTATTTCGCGAGTACTTGTGCTGGAATTTTACCAAACATTCGAGATAGCAAAATAAATTCGGCGGAAGGGTCGATTGTGACCAGAGTGTATGAGATTTGGAAATGGTCGCGCGTTACCGGAATATTATTCTAGTCATTATCGTAAAGTCGATCTAATCGCTCGCTCCTGTGGCAGGAGGAAGTGGTCGGTATCTTTTCGTATTTCGTCTCGTATCTGTTCTGGTGTTCCGTGCAATCCATCGAACTGTGTGTACGAACACGGTCAGTGCACGGTGAAAGTGACATCGAGCGTAACAGCGTTTTCAATGGAATCTGCCGGTTCTTCGGTCGACGCGAAGCACGCGAATTGATTTGCATCGAAAACGGTCTCGTGTGCCGTCTATGAATTTTTCTTAACGGACCCACGAGGACGGAACGTGAATTCGCGATGACCCAAGTGTTCGAACAATATTCTCGTAGTTGTCATCCGCGTGCGATCGAATTCCTTCCGCATCGCGAGGAATACAGATTGTGGTAACGATTTAAATTTTTCGAAGAAACGTGTATATATATATATATATATGTGATTTTATGGAATATGTTAAGAAATTTTGAAATAACAAAATGTCATTTTTGTTTTCTTTCGTTGTTACAGCGAAGTGAGCATATCGTCCGCTCGTGCGTCGGTAATGGTGTACGATGACGTTAATAAGAAATGGGTACCGAGTGGCAGTTCCTCGGGGCTCTCCAAAGTTCAGTTGTACCATCATCAGGTGCACAATACCTTTCGCGTGGTCGGCCGAAAGTTACAGGATCACGAGATCGTCATCAATTGCGCGATTCTCAAGGGATTGAAGTATAATCAAGCAACGGTCACGTTTCATCAATGGAGAGACAACAAGCAAGTGTACGGCCTGAATTTTTCCAGCAAAGACGATGCCGATGCGTTCGCCAGGGCGATGCTGCAAGCGCTCGATGTGAGTTCTAAGCGAAGAGTTAAGAAACTACGATGTAAATTATGATTTTCGTTTTTCTTTAACACTTTGACACGCTTTACCTAGGTGCTCAGTAATGGAAGCAACATATCGAGAACCCTTGCACCGTCGGTCGGATCGACTACTCAGCAGCAACCTGTCTTTCAGCAACAGCAACAGGGCAACGCCCAATACGATGAAGATATGGGATACAGGTCCGTCTACTTTACGTCGCTTGTTTGTTGAAAAACTACAACTTCTTCACCCAGTAAAAAAGTCACTGTAGAAGACAATCAATGATGTTTGATTTTTGTATAGGACCATGACTAGAGAAGATGTAGCGATCATCCAGGAACGCAGAATGTCTCAACAAAGTCAGGGTATCGTATTCATTTCGTTCAACTCGACAATTCGATCGTGTCCAACACGCCAAGTCGAAGAAAAATTCATTCAGATGTAATTTCTTTAATAGCAACCGGCAGTCCAAATGCAATTTCTCCGAGTTGTCCTTTGGCCAGTCAGCAACAGCAGCAACAACCGACATCGCAGCAACAACAACAGCCACCTCAACAAACTGTCCAACAGTCGCAACCGCCGCCACAGCAGCAACAGCCACCAGCACCACCTCTGCCTCAACAACAGCAACTGCAAGCACAACAATCGCAGCAGCAACCGTTGCAGCAGCAGCAGTCCGGTCATCATAGAACTTCGTCGGCGCCGCCTGCACCGCAGCCTCAACAGTCTGTGATGCAGCCGATGCAGCCGCTCGGAGCTATAGGAACTGGATCGGGACAACTGGCCGGCGTTGGTGCTCCTCCGGCTCCACCTCCTCAACCTCCAATGCCAGCCACGATTCCGCCATGTCCGCCGGCAATGATGAACTTCAACACACCGGTACCACCGCCTCCGATGATGATGAACCAGTACGCACAGTCACCGTCGGCTCAAACGAATCTGCCCAATCAGTCTCAAGCCCAGTCTATTTACAGTAGCGCCCAGGGAGGAAGTCAGTACGGCACCCCGGCGAACAGTAATCAGTACGCGACGGGTACCGTTGTCGGGCAAAGTCCATGTCAGTATTCTTCCGGAAATCAAAATAATTTTTACGGTAATAACGGTCAAATAGGGAACGCGTATTCGAGCGGACAACCGGGACAAACGAATCAGTACAGCGGTGGTAGCGGAGGCGCCGGTGGTACCGGTGGAAACCAATACGCGAGCGGGAATTCGATCGGTCAGTACGCTACTAGTGGAGCAGCAACAACCGGACAGTACGTGGTCGGAGTCGGTGTTGGAGCCGGCGTAAACGTCGGTCAACCGAATCAGTCTCAGTACAGTGTTGTGTCTCAGGCACAGGCACAGTACGGCACCAGTCAAGTACAAGCAGCGTCGAACGCCACGAATCCGTATGGGACGCCTTCGAATTCGGTGAATCAGTACAACAGTGGGAACACTGGTGCAGGAGGTGGCGGAGGCTCGAACGTTTATGGTTCGGTTGGGAGCGGTGGTCCTCAACCGCCACCAATGGTACCGTTGACCGGTCCTGCCGCGCCTCCCCCACCTCCACCACCACCCGCGCCAAACGCAAACGCAATGAACCTTAATCCTCCGATGGGTGGACCCGGTTCTACCAGCTCAATGAGTTCCAACAACAGCAACACAGATCCACCACCGGATGCTAACTCGCTGGCAGCAGCTCTTCAAGCGGCTCGTTTAAAGAAGAAACAGGTTCGTTGTCCTTTCGACTGTAGTTCTATTCGTTCTTTCGATTATATTCATCTATTTGTTCATTCTCTGGCTAATTGTTGACGTATTGGTTCAGTCGGCACAACAGTCGGTGGAGAACAGTGGCTCGAGTAATAACAGTAGCAGCAGTGGCAGCGCTGGAGGCAGTGGAAATTACGGCACGTTGGGAAGAGGCGGCGGTGGCGGTATGGCTTCCATGATGGACGAAATGGCGAAGACTCTGGCGCGAAGACGAGCCGCCGTCGAGAAAAAACAACCCGAACAGCCGCAGGTACATATTTTTTACTGCATAATCCTTACTGGGATTTTGTACGCGTATAATTTGTATACCCTTCGATCATCCTGCCGTCGCGTTTCGATAGGAATCTGAAAGCTCGCCCGACAAGAAGTCCTGGGACAAGAACAATTCGTCGAACAATAAATTCGCGAACGGGGCCGAATCGCCGAAATCGGTCCGCAAGAGGTTCGGTTCCGCTTCCGAGGACACTCTGCTGAAAGTGAACGGCGTGAACGACGGGACCGTGCTGACCGTTCAGGAAATGGAAGCGTTCAAAGCGGAGATCATCAAGGAAGTGCGTAAAGAGTTTCAAAAGATGAAACAGGAGCTCGTGGACGGTAAGAATTTCGAATTGAACCGTATAGTGCCTCTCCGAGCTATAACGACTTCGTAAAAACAATTAGGGGTTCGGATTCTTCACGCGTTTAAGGGTTTCGGTGGCAAGTTCAGCGTTCAGGAATAGCCAACCTTTTTAAAGAAGTATCAAATGACTCATTGTACTCTCAGGGGTATCATAATTGATGAGATATAAGACTAGACTTTTCATCTTATGGAAGTTGGTGGCTTACATAAACTGTAGTACCGAAACCTTAAAAAGCCTGTGATTTCAGCGACCTCTACGTTATGAGAACTAAAATGGAAATGGGGTAACGTAACCCCAGAAAAATGTGCCGCAAAAATATATTGTATGAAATGTCTACTCCTATACCTTGTATGCGGTATCACATAGCATACCCATCGAAAGAGTCACGCCTAAAATCACCATAGCTCGGCGAGGCACTATAAACAGATCTGTTTCTCGACGTGTTGTCGCATGCTGATCGTTTTCTCGACTTTCAGCGGTGAGACAGGAGCTGAGCAGAAGATAAAGACGCGACGCGGGCCAGATTCGAACGTAACAAAAAGAGGAGTAAACGGAAGTAATTGAATCGCGTAGGTCATGACAACCGAAACGATTGTCGTCGTCACCCGCACACAGGTTTTTTTACTACGTATTCGCGAGAGTAAAGTGGACTTATACGCCCCCCCCCCTCCCCGTGTATATCAGACACGTTTGTGCGTAAGTACATTATTATCTAGCCTAGCATTCTAAGTAAACCGTACCCTATCGTTGTTTACTAGACCGATGGTAAGTGACGTTCACTATGGATAAAATCGATTCTAACTTCTGCCAATTCGACGCACAACACATTTTGGATAAACTATCCGGTAGTTACTACCTACGTCCGAATGCGTGTACATTTACGGTGGGATCGTACAATCTGTCGTTTATCGTCAACGAAACATATTACGGGTACCGTAACCGTCGATCCCGCCCCACCATCGAACACACACATACACAGACAAAATCGCGCTTTTATTTATGTAAATATCGGTCCGAATTCGATTATATATATATATATATATATAT